AGAATAAGTAGAAAATGGAAGCGTTTCTATCTAGAATTGCCCTTACTTTCAAGCTTACAATTTCCGAGGTATGTCTTGAGTCCGAAGGCAGTAGTTACAGAAATCCATGCTTTCTGAGACGCTTCAGAAAAGGTTTATTGTGCAGCAGTCATCTATCTCCGAACAATCGACCTTGATTCGTGAGTCAAAGTCAGCCTTCTGACATCGAAAACCAGAGTAGCGCCCTTAAAAACCCAGTCTCTTCCGAGACTAGAGTTGTGTGCTGCGTTACTTTTAACCAACCTCTTACATGCAGTATTATCATGCATAGAACTGCCTATTAACAATATTTACGCATGGACCGACTCGCGGTTTACATTGGCATGGGTTTCGTCCGAACCTCGCCGTTGGCTACCTTTTGTGGCAAATCGAGTTGCAAAAATCCAGGAAAGCTGTTCCAGGTATTCAATGGAATTATGTTGCTGGGAAAGAAAATCCTGCAGACTGTGGGACCAGAGGTTTTATTCCATCAGAATTCCTACAATGTGAGTTATGGATGAAGGGACCGCAGTGGTTAAACGAATCCGTAATTCATGTACAGCAAATTCAAGTGTAGAATTAGAGGGTGAAGTTATGTTGAAGGAATTGAAAAAGAGTTTCAGTTCAAATGTTTCCAAATTTGAAGAGCCTAGTGTGTTTTCAAGATTTTCATCATGGTTAAAGTTATGTCGAGTGTTAGCGTGGTGTTTAAGATTCAGAAATAATTGTAGTAAGTTACCTACAGAGCGTATAAAGGGTTATTTATCTACTGAAGAATTCTGTGAAGTTACTTCTATGATTGTTAGGATTGTGCAAAGAGCCGAATTTCCAGAAGAATTATTCTGTTTAGAATCTGGTAAACCCTTGAAGACATCAAGTAAATTACTGTCTTTAAGTCCTTTCTTGGATTCCGCGGGAGTAATGCGTGTAGGCGGAAGGCTCAGAAACTCTACAGTTTCAAATAATCAGAAACATCCTATGATTTTACCTAAGAATCACAATATTACGCGTTTAAATTATTAAGCATTATCATGACACGTATCTTCACGCAGGTACGCAGCTACTCACTTCTGTCATACGACATAGATTTTGGATTGTGAATGCTAGAGATATTATAAGAAAGTGTATAAACCAATGTGTTATCTGCCGTAGAGTTAGAGCGCAAACTGCAACTCAGCTAATGACAGATTTACCCGCTTGAAGAGTTACTCAAAGTAGAGCTTTTTCTCGTGTAGGGATTGATTTAGCAGGACCATTAAACGTTAAATATCGTCCTGGTAGAGGAGTCAAAATCTTTAAGTGTTACGTATGTCTATTTATTTGTTTTACAAGAGCAATACACTTAGAATTAGTTGGAGATCTTTCAACAAAATCATTCCTCGCGACACTTAAGCGGTTTATAGCTCGTAGAGGCAAACCGTGTGAAATTCACAGTGATTGTGCAACGAATTTTATAGGAGCTAATAAAGAATTAAGGAAAGCCTTTTCTATTGTTCAACGTGATGAACAGCTACAGGGTTATATTTCTTCAGAAAATATTAAATGGTTATTTAATCCTCCCTCTGCCCTCATTTTGGAGGGCTTTGAGAAGCGGGTATCAAGTCTATGAAACATCACTTAAAAAGATGTTTAGGAACACTTATTTTAACATACGAGGAATTTTTGACATTAATAACCCAAATTGAATCCTGTCTTAATTCTAGGCCTTTGGTACCAGCTTCAAGTGATTGTAGCGACTTGGAGGCGATAACACCAGGACACTTTTAACCGGAGCGGCTTTAAGCGCTATTCCAGAATCTAACCAAATTCAAGAAACCATGAAGCTGCAGTTGACCGTTGGAGGAACGTGCAAAGGTTATTTCAACATTTCTGGAATCGAGCTGGAGCAGTGAGTATTTATCTAGATTGCAGCAGAGATCCCAAGTGGTGCAAGGTTACAACAAGATCTGAAGATTGGTGATATGGTTCTTATTAAGAACGAAAATCTACCTCCGCTACGTTGGAAATTAGGTAGAATTATCAAAGTGTATCCTGGTCTTGATGAGAAAAGTTTCGATTGGTGAGTTTACGCACGTCCGAATGGTGAAATAAAACGACCTATAGCAAAGCTATGTGCTTTGCCATTTAATTCCTGATTTAGAGAACTTTAATTTTTATTTTTCAGGTTTATGCAGTTCAACAGTTTAAATTTATTGTTTGAACCCCCTTGAGACTTCAAGGCTGGGGGTATGTTCGATGTTATGCAAATTGTATTTCTTTCTTTGTACCGAGGAGCGGCGCAGACGCAAATTTGTTAGGTTTTTAAAGCTCGCGTTTAGAGCTTTGAGGTTGCTGTGATTTACTGGATACTGGAGTTTCAACTAAGCAGAGGTTCTTCTGAGTTTGTGTTGGTAAGCCGCTACTGAGTTCGGAGTTCGCAGTGCGGTCTTCGCCGTTCCTCAACCAACCTACTGTTTGAAAGCGAATAAAGAAGTTTCGGTCGACATTATGACTCTGAGGTTTCTTGGGTTCTATACTGAAGTAATATCAAGTCAATTTACAGTCCACTATTTTTAACAACGAATCGTACAATATATATATATATATATACATCCATTTATTAGGCCTTTATTTATTGGTCGTAGTAATAAACTTCCAGTTATAGAGGTGTTTTAAATAACGAAAATATTTATGTTTCGGCAATGTCAAATTAAAAATAATCAATTTTCTGCAAATAACGAAATCTAGCTTTTAATGCAGTCTCCTATTTCGCGTACTTATGTTTTAGAATGTTCTATACTCATTATGAAAAATAAAATGATAAGAAATTTGACTCCCGTAAGATGAAAATTGACCGGTGTATTAAATTTCAAAATTTGCAGTTTTTGATGTCATTTTCAGCTAGCTTTGAAGAATCGGTTAATCAAGTTAGAATAATTCGAGAAAATAAATTTAAATGAATTGCAGTAAAAAAAAATGTGTTATAATCTAATATGCCATAAAAGGAGGTCAAGTGATGTTCACAACGGATTTTTTCATTTAATAAGGAGACCGTACGTTACAAAATTTATTTTTTAGTTTCTTTTGGTTTATTTTGTATTTGAATTACTTATAGACAAATTTATTTTTTTATAATCTAATTTCATTAATACTTCCCAACAGCATCGTTAAAAGTATTTATTTATGGTTCTTGGAAATATTAAAAATCTATTAATTGTTAATGAATTCAAGTCATTGAAAAATAAAGATCAAACTAGTCAAAAGAAAGAATATGGAGAATAGTTCGCGTTTTTCGTTGCTAGTATAACAGTTTATGAATTTAGCCAAATAAATATATAACTCAATTTGTGACTTTTATGATTTCTCTTGTGAAACTTAGTCTGAAGTGTTAAATATAGTCTGAGGTCAAACTTCAAAATGAAGAAAATCTATTAAATGCTTTTTTTATTAAATAATGACACTTTAGGCTTTTATCTGTTAAACATTTAAAAAATTTGTCAGTAAATTCTGTCAGCTTAATTTAATATTGATATACTTATTATTTCTGTTACTGCAATTTGTTTATTAGAAACATTTCAAACTTAATAAAGTAATTGAAATTAAAAAAATTAGTAAATTATAAGCTATTTTATGTTAATTTATCAATTCATTATGATTTAAACCTTTATTATAAATTCTTCCGCTCTCTCATCAGAATGCAAACTAGTTATTTGAGTATTTCAGTTGAAAGTTTTGAAAGTTTTAATGTAAAAGCTTTTGTCAGTCTTTATTTCCTATCATCATAACACTTTGAAATTAATAGTCTCTATTAGAATAGTCTCTGTTAGAGATTATTATGGCCTCGTCCACTTTCCTAGTCGACGTCAATAGTTGAGGTTAAAATATTTGAGTCAGGTGACAGTTGAGAGCGGATCCGGATACCCGGGTGGCTTACTAGAATTATTCGGGTATCGTCCGGAATCCGCAACTGTACAACGCAATAATTCTTTGGCGCCCCGGAAGCCCGGCGTCAGGAGCTTAATAGAAACTTCTGTTGGTGCTGTATATTGAAATTTGAGCATTTTAAACTGATATTTAAACATTTTACAATAACTGTAATTTACAGTACAATAATTGTATACTGATACACACACTGAAGCTGTTGTATAAATATTATACATTAATAATTGAACATTAATGTGGTGCATTTTATGTGCACCACATTAATGTTCAATTATTAATGTATAATATGCATTTTATGTTCAATTATTAATGTATAATTATTAATGTAAACCACATTAGGTTCAAACACTGGGAATAAATTGTTACAACAATATTTGTTTTGCCCATGCATACATTATTGCTCGTACATAAACATTCCACACTAATAATTAAATGTTTTACTCTTGGTTGCAAGCCAGTTCTACAATGATACATTCATATATACATAAACAAATAAACACACATAAGTTACCCTGGGACATTTTACATATATAGAAGCTTTGGATAGGTTAGTTACTTTAGAGTGTTCATGTACTGGGTTCCATCATACACACACTAAATAGCACACTAATATGCCGCGTAAAAGCACTAGTACCATACAGCGAGGCACTCAGGAATAAAGAATTAGTACTGAAGATTGGGTAGGAATCTGTAGTGCACTAGGTGACATGACAGAGGTCCTTTCCCAAAGCTTTCAGTTTTTCCATTACGAGTTTTAGTTTTCTGAGCAGAGCAGGCTGCTTAATGAAGAAGAGCATGAATGGTGCATCATCAACTGGTAGCCGCATGCGCCACGTCTCTGTGAGTAGGCATGCTGTTATGTAATGGTCTGGAGTACCAGCCTCACCGCACACACAGAGGTTAGATCAGACAAATTCCCTTTTACAGAAATACTCTGGAAAGGGGCTGTGGCCAGTTACAAATATTGTTACAAAGGGTGCCGAGGTAAGTCGATCAGTGGAAACTTTATAATAAAATATATGAGCTCTTCTACCCTGAGGAGCTGCATCCCATTCCACTTGTCATTGCTTTAATGCCTTCTCCCAGATCTGTCGCTTTAGAGAAGATGTAGGAAACAGAGTGGGCACAGGCTGAGCATTGATGTTTCTTGCTACTTCTTTGGCGAGTTCATCGGCTTCTTCATTTCCCTGGTATCCAGCATGTGCATTTTTCCAGGAGATATGAATAGTCCTTCGACTCTCACTCTCTCTAAGCAAAGCCTGGGTATCAGCTATCTTAGTAGAGGAATGGTAGGGATTACGTATTGCATAAATAGCAGAAAGGCTGTCTGTGAAGATGCGGAATGCGTGCCCATCAAATTGTTCCGTGACTGCGATGGCCTGCCTAATTGCGGTCATTTCAGTTTTGAAATACCGTATTTTCTAAGTGCCCTTTTTATGTTTGTAAATCTTCATCGTTAAATTTTATTACAGCACTACATCCAACTCCTCCTTCGAGTTTTTGAACCGTCTGTTTACATGCAAATTGCATTTTCTGAACTATTTTGGCAATTGAGCATTATTGGATAGACATGAATACCTGTTCCATGTTGCGCTGGATATACATTAAGCAGCGACCTCTTGCTCTCATAATCGGCTGGATTAAGGTGAAGATCTCTGTAAGTTGCCTGTCTTTTAAGCATTGTGACGGAATATCTGAGTCAGCTTAAGCAGACCATTTTGTGTAATCTCCGACTGTGATACCTGAAGTTGAATTTTAACTTATGTTATTTTAAATACCCACAAGTGGCGGAATTTTGTTTGTAAGCACAAGTGGTTCCTTTTGTTAAATGTAAAGTGTTAATAAAAAGGCTATATTAACCTTCTCAGGACATTTTATTTTAATTCAGGCTAGAGCGGTATTTCGCTTATTAGTCTAGGAGGGTCTGAAAGCCATTAATTTAATTTCTACACAAACAGAGCCCGTAACTTCTATGAGGCTTTATATTGTTTAAAATACATTTCTCAGAGTTTTATATCGGCAAACATGTTTAATGCATTGTGCTGTTTCTTCCATGTAATAAAAATATTCATATTTATTAACATAGTAGCATATTTGATAAAACGTTAAGTTAAATGTTACAGCATTTCTAAATGCTACTTTTTATTTGAAGTTAGGAAGCCTTTTTCGTTAAGAAACTATTACTCTAATATTTGAGAACATATTAGTTTCCTCCTTATTTATGCTGCAAGATCTACCATTATTTAAAATTCAATAGATGTTTGGAAACGGTTGGCTTGGTAAACTTTTAGATAGTGCATAAGAGCAATTTTTCTTCAAAGGTCGCCAGAGAATCTTTACATACCTCACAAGCGAACAAAATCTAAAACTAAACGTATTTATTTTGAGGAGTGCCATGTAGAATCAATAAACCAATACTAAATTTTGAGGAAACGTTATGGAAACTCGGTCAAATGCAAAAGCCTTATTCTTTTTTCCCGTTAAGTGAGGTGAGGAGAATTCAGTTTTAAATATTTTTTTTCTCCTTCTTTGCAGCCTAATATTCGTACTAAGCATTTAATAAAGTTTTCAAAACTAATGGTTGACAGCATAAGCCCTGTTAAACAATCAGAACAATGTACCAGATTGTACCAATCAGAAAAATGTACCAGATTTAAATGCTAAGTATGCAGTGTTTATAAATTGTTTGAATATTTCTCAATTTCTACCGTAGTTTCTGTTAATTAAGTACCTTCCAGACTTTTTGCTCTCTGGCTCCTTTTTTCGTTTATTCTAATCTTCATTGTCTTTTTACTTACCCTTTCTTGTAGCTTTAGTTAAGATATTCAGCAACCTACATATGCCTGTCGCTAAATCAGAAAATAATAAATGCTTCCAAAAATAATTAGGTTGCATTCAGTTAGAAAAGGGAAAAAATAATAAAAAGAAACATAAGCATTTTGTTAAAATTCTAGATATTTAAGTCTTATACTTTTTAAAGCAGGTAAACATTCCATGCTTCTTTCCGTATATTATCTTATATTTGGCGTATCAGTTAGGGTTCGTGCTGCCAGACTGTACGTCTGCAGCGCCACGGATTGTTAACAAGACGTCCTTTGCATTAACGTCCCTTGACGCTTTAGTGCAATCATTGCCAGCAATGGTTCGTTCAACAACACACATAAACGTATCAATGTTGCGACATCGTCTTTTTTGAGGATTTATGTTTTGCTTACAGAATCACTCAGGCCACATATTTTATATAGGGGCATCAAGAAGTACGGACGTTAGAAACATGTGTTCGTCATAGTCATATCAGCTCAGTGCTTGGATCCAAAATATTGGATGCTACTGGGTACACATCCATTTTACATCTAGTTTGCTTATCCTAAATTTTGAACAGCCACCATAACATTACAGAGGTTTTAATGCTCTTGGGTTTGCTGTATCTTCTGGACTTCTGCCATCCCATCTTTCACTAGGAAAATACGAAACCTCAGGTTGCCCACGCTTTTCATCATTTCCACTATAAATAGGGTGTTAAACGTCTGCTTTGTCCAAAATATTGTCCAGATCTGTCACCAACTGAAGAGTCTGGTCAATGGTTTCAGATAGAATGTCACGGCAGCATCCATCAACCAGCAGGGCAGGAAAATATTCCACCGTCTGAAAAAGTTTACTATTTGGACTAAAATTGAAATTTTTGACTGATCGAAGTCAAAGTTTTTGACAAAGACTGAAATCTGAGGCATTTCAATACCCAGAACTGCCTCCAAAATCTGTTCGACTTCATGCCCAGCCGTATAAGAGCTTCTGTTGTTCCCAGAGGTGGATGCTGAGAATACTAATTGTTACATGCTTTCTGTACATCGAAACTACTGGAAATTTTAACCATTTCATTCTTCCATTATAATAAACTTGCGACATAAATATATTCTATAAACTGCTTTTTTCATGATGCAGCTATTTTAATGGCAAGCAAAGTATATTATCTCCATAGTAAAATACCCTTTTGATTTATATTCTGCACTTCTATGCAGCAAAACTAGTGAATCTTTATGAAAGCCATAATAAAAGCTAAGAAAAGAGCTTAACAATAACGACGTAACATGAAGGATGGACTAGACGGTTCATACATAATGTAGACAGAAGTAATTCAGTGTGACTTATTTGTAAAGTCCATTTAATATTACTTATTTAAAGAAGGTGTGTATGTTAACCTTTTGTATATAAATAAAATAATTATTAATGTATTGTATTAATAAAATTCAGTTATATTATGTATGATATATTGTGTTAAGTTGTATTAATAATAAAACTGTATTAATAAAATTAAATTTAAAATTAACTCTCATGTCAAGCATAAATTCATTCATACCTACGAAATTCTCCCTTGGAAAAAAAAAAAAAAAAAAAAAATACTTCGCTGAATGTGCTTTTAAGTAATTATATAATAATATATATTTACTTTTCGATTGATTTTCTCAAATGCTGAAGAATAGCGCAGTGCAAAAATGCTTTCAAACCTTAGCACGCGAGGACATACACTCGCATACGTAAGAAAAGGAAACTAATTTTTTACATTGAAAAAGGTGCTGGAGTATATAGGTGAAGATTTAGAAACGTGATCGAAGTAAAAAATGGAAACCGAAAAGGCATCTAGAATATTAAAGTAATGTTCGATAGTAAAATATTGTTACGAAATTTACAGGCGCGGTAAGATGGCTTTAGTTTTAGGGCAGTTTTAGGGTTGCCATAAAATGGCAAGGAAAGGCAGGGTTACCACATTTGGCGAGAAATCGCCCATTCGGCGACATTTGGCGATATACCGTGTACGGATGGAGAACTTTCTGGGACAATACTTACCGGTTAAGCCCAGAATGTTCTCAAACACAAGCCGAAAGCTATATAAACCCATGCTGGTCCGCAATCAGTGAGAGAGTGCCTCGTCTAGTGTGCGAGTGAGTGTGTCTCATCTAGTTAGTCCGTGCGGAGACGATCGAGTTGACAGCCGGCCAGCGAGTGCCGAGTGGGTCGTTGAGTGCATCGAAGAGTCTCTTAATGTATCGCGGTTAACACATCGTCGAGAGAGTGTGTTAAACTCCGGGAACGACTGAACAGAAGACTCGGGAGCTGTGCTCTGTGTGTCGTCGAGTGCGTCGCGAGATGTAGCGTGGAGAGTCTCGAGAGTACGCGGAGTTCCGGGAACGACCGAGCAGAGTCGGGAGCTGTACTCTGGTGCTTTGCAGCGAAGAGCTATCTCCACCGTTATTACCTGACAGTGTGAAGGCTGTGTCGCTGATTGTTTCTGGGTGTTTATAGTAGATCTTCCACAACTGTAAAAGTGTTTTGGAGCTGTCCTGATTGATATTGGTAAATAAAGTGTGTTTCGATACTTCATGAAGTGCTGTCGTCGTTCTTTACTCCAAATCCACACGAACGTGAACGAAGAAAATAACGTAACAACTGGTATCAGAAAAAAAAACGCAACAATATATTAGAAATTCATTAAGCGATTTCTTTAATTTCTTTTTTTTTTATAGTATCATTACCTATTGATTGAAATATGATGAGCAAATCGCTATTCTAAATAATTTTCGCACTTTTTAGAATTCTTATAATACTAAAAGTTCTAAAATTGTTTAGATTTCTTAAGTAAAGTTTCTATGTTAATTATAGTACGTTTTAGTGCTACTGATTTTTCCAGCGTGTCTATAGTAGATCTTCGACGAAGTCGTCGAAATAAAAAAATAACCCCCCCCCGAAAAAAAAAAAAAAGAAATGAAATAATTGCCAGATGAAAATAGTTCTGAATTCCTTTGTTTTCTCCTAATAACTTTTACGCGCTGTTAATGTCTAGAAATTTTTTAAGGAAATATTTCAAAATTTTTAGACCATTATGATAAACGATAATATCATTTATTGCATTTATCATTCGTGTACTCTGGCAAATATCATTCTTCGACTCTCACTTAACAGATATGAGATCTTTCACACAGCCTGGCAAAAAGCCAGTTTCAGAGTGCTACCATTCGAAGGGACGTCTTTAAATTTATGTTTCAAATTATAATCTTGCTGTTTAACAAACTGGAAGATTAAAAAGAAACAGCTCACCTTTTAATAATGTGTATATTTTTCATTTTTTATTAACATATCTAAGTGATATTATTATAGAGAATATCAGGTGTTTCAACCGGATATATAAAAAATCGAATGTCTGGGAATTCTATTTCCTGGATGAATCTCATAAAGGCATGCACAGGAGGAGTAGTATAATACTTTACAATATTATTTAAAATAAATTTTAATAACAATACATCCCGTTGATAATTAAGAAAATTTGGAAAATTATAGTTATTAATAAAAGATGTCTCTCAAATCATACATTCCGTTCCTTGGTACAGAATAATTTGATTTT